GAGTGTTGAAGATGATGCAGGTGTGATAAGCACCTCCTGGAAATGAGGAGATTTTCAATGATGTGCCCATCAGGCTTTATCCTGATGTGTCTTTTGGTAAAAACCAGTGTTGCAGTCGCCAAGGAACATTTTCTGCCATAGTCTTGATTCCTTTGGAATAATAGGGATTTACTCCAGTCACTGCACTCAGCTGGGCTTCTGTGATTCTACTCTGGGCTCAGTTTGTCCATGATGTGGGTCACTTGAGCCCCTGCAGGGTCAGCCCCCGTGCTTCTCACTGCACAACCTCATAGTATGCTTGATTAAGATTTCTAGTGAAGTCTGTAAGTGTTCCCTCTATAAAGATACAAAGGTTGTGAAAACAGCCTAGTGACTCAAATAAGCAATTTCATTATGAAATTTCATTATTGCATTTGAAAATTGTGGTTTGCAGGTAGGAGCTCCCAGACCAGCAGTCTTGGGCTGAAAGGGAAACCTCACCCCCTGCTGAGGCTCTGACATCCTCCATCATGTAACACAGCAGGTGTTCCCTGGCAGAGGTCGACCAAGCTCGGCCTCTCCTGTTCCTGGGACCTGCCCTGCTCCTAGGCTGCTGTAGTACTGCTTCAGAAATGGGGGAATTTGAAGAAAAGGCTTAAAAGCCAAATGGATTTATATCCTTCACCAGGGATTTGAGTAGGTCAGGGCTTGTCCCACAGTAGCAACATGAGGCTGCTGTAAATTACATAGAAGGACCAAAGAACACAGGCTGCTGGCCATAGAAACATCTGCTATTCATTTCCTGGTCTAACTGCCCATTTCCTGAAGCAATACCGAATCTTCACCTCTCTGCAGCACTGAACATACATTGCTGTACTCTTTATAAGCCTTTGGTACTTCTTATGGAAATCAAAACCTTAACATACATGTGGTCTTACAGCATATTTCAAAAGCTTTTGATTCTTATTATTTGCTTTATAGATGCATTTATCCAGAGCCATCTAAAACTCTAGACAAAATTTACATTGAGTAAATACAAGGAACATTTGTGCTGGTAAAAGAAATGAAATGACTAAAATGACAGTGAGGCTAACACAAATTGCAAGTGCTGTGCAAATGTGGTGTTGGCAGAGATGCTGGCCCAGAAGGAGTTACAGTACTAATGGGAGAGCACCAAGGACTGTACTTTCAGTCATGTGGAATATCTGGTCAGGAAGGGGCTGGTTCTGTGAATGTTGTCCATGAAAAGAAGGCAAGAGAATGCCAGAGGAGAAATAAGGGAGAGGAAGGGGTCAGGTGTGACATCAAGGAGGAGCAGAAAAAGGAAGTAAAACTTTGCAAGGTCAAGTTTAAGATCAAAACAGTACATCCAGAATGTCATGGCCATGAGGTGGGAGGAGTATCAGTGGACAGAAAAGAGGAAGGTTTGAGCAACATTAGCATAAACTATGTAAAGCTATAAGAAGATATTAGAGGACCCAGAACAGAACCCTGGGGAACACCAGGAATCAGCAGGGTAGGGGGTGATGGTGAGAGAAGTGCCACAAAACACAGTCAGACAAGGTCAGCAACTGTTAAATAGAGAAAAGACTGATCTAGAAGTGTCAGAGATGTTGGAGAGATTGAGGAAGACAAAGGTAGCATGTACTGAGTGATCGAGAGGAGAACACTTTCAGCTGAGTGTGGTGAGGAGGAAGAGACTGGAGAGGGTCAAGAGAGGAGTGCTGCAAAAGGAAAGGAGACAGCTGGCAGCTCATCGCCCACTCCGGGGGTTTGGGCAGGAAGGGAGATGGGCAAAAGAGATCAAGGGCAGAGGTTTTTTACAAAGGTGCAATGCAGGGTTTTTTTTATAAAAAGGGAAAGCAGCCCATGAGTAGGGACTTATAAGGAGGGACGAAATACAGAGAAGGAGCAACGCACTGGATCAGAGCAAAGACAAGAACATCTGTCGTTATAAATACGTACTGAACAGTATGTGTAAAACTGAAATTTAACAAAGCAATATGCAGACATCCTAAAGTCTAGGAACAAGTAATAGGTTTATTTCATGCTGAAAACAGAGGGAAAAAAAACAACTTTTTGGCTGTGGAGCCTTCTTCGGGTGTGAGAAAGACAGGGCAGACAACAAAGAT